TGTACTTAATATCTTTTTAAGGGACACTCATAGAGAATTTTCGCTCACCAAGTTTGTTTATTTGTACATGACATGTGTAGAGCCCAGCCACGCCAAACAGCCCAGCTACCCAGCTACATAAAATATGTACAGCGCAGCTACCCCAAAAAAACAAAAAGAAAACAGTTAGCGGCTCAAAATTTGTTTTTTGTGTTTTTCTTTCCCAAGACCGCCGATAGAGAACTGGCCGCTTTGAGTCGCGCTCACGCTCTTCTCCGTGGTCACGTGCCGTTCAGACACAACCACCAAATATAATCAAAGTCGTGGTCATCGAAGGCTAACACTCAATATTCAAAATACGATACCCATTTTTTGTGGCTTCTTAAAAACTGCAAATGCGTTGATTAAGACAAAAGTTGCCAAAAATTTGGAAACACTCGGTGCGTTATCTGCGTAATTCTCAACATGGCGTCGTATCCTGAGTGCCTCGGGCTGTACAGGGGAACGAAGCGGACGGAGCGATGCCGTCGGACGACGGGCGTGGGACTTCTACTTCCGAACTGTCGTTCGCGGTACCGGTGAATCTGTCTAGCTTCGAAAAACAATTTTGAACAATCAAAACAATTAGGATTTATTCCGTAGGACATGCTCGACCACCAAGCTGATTCGCACGAAGACGTCGCCGAGTCGTTGCCCCTTCTCCTGGCTCAAGACATCAGTCGTCTTACGAACACGAAATACTATAGATCTTGAAACACGCGCCAACGTCAAGCACGAAGTGGGTATACTTGGTGTTGAATTTGCATTCGTACGATTTTTTTATTTTTTTCTTGGTACAAATGTGGCCATTGTGTGGTGCTACCCTTCTTCAGGCTTGGGAAGTGCCTTTGCAGCCGGGAGTTGGCAGCGAACTTTCTGATCTACAGTCGACTGGCTGCATTACTGAGAACGAGCAGTTCCCGCTCGTGATCATTACAATGTTAAAACAGTTGTCTGATTCGCACTACCAAAAAATCGGCGAAAAAAAAAGAAACGCGGTCGGCTGTAGCCGCGTGGTTTCCGGCCCAACTCTTTCTTTTATATCTCTCCCTCCTCTCTAGTCGACATGTGTCACCATTACTCCGTGTTCGTGCTTCGGTTTTGGTTTCGAGCAGTTGCGTTTTTCGGCGGTATTAAAGATATACGTGACTTTGTAGAAAAATATATATTGGGTAGTCTTGTGACACCATATTGAATCGCCTGGCAAAAAAAAATGAAACAAAAATAAAATTGGAAGAGAGGGGGGGAGGGGGAGTCAGTGTTTCTTGAAGTCTAGCTGCAGTCGACGCTAAAAGCTGATGGGACCAACCAGACAGCCTTTAAAGCGCACCATCATGGTGTGTACCCTGTGTCTGTACATGTTCTATCATCGCTGAACCAGTTATAAACATAAAAGGCCCAGTCAAGTGCGCTTTTGGCTATCCCTGATTGATTCCATTACCTCGCACTGCCGGCTGCGTCTGGACCGAAAATAAATTAAGTTAATTTAGACTCTCTGTTACCAGGCGAAGAAAGATGCTGACATACGCGTGTACATGACCGAGGCTCGTGCACAATCGAGCACTGCAATGCCACTTTATGCTCAATCATAGCCTCCTATATACTGACAAAGCCTGGCAGATCGCCACGAGAAGCGGTCGCCGAAATGGGAAAGGTGGAGCGGCAGACAACGGGTGAGAAGAGAGTCACGTGATTGGCGCCCCGCTGTGGCGAGACGCCGAAACACCCTTCTCCCGAGCGAACAAGTATATTTCGGGTCCTCGCCGCTGCAAAAGCTGTGATCTGTCGTCCAGGTTCCCCGAGAAATGCTCTGGGCTACCAGATCTTCGCGCTCCAAACCTGCGACCCGGCACTCTATGGCTCCGTTGTCGAACTGCCAAGCTTCGTGAGTATAGAAGAGTCTATGGCTCGATGCAAGCATTATATGGTCGCACTTTGCAGATGCACTCGCGTCCACTGGCGGAAAGAAACGCTTGCAGACGATCGACGCCGACATTTTTGTCTGTGCGTTCGTGACCTCCTCCCCGCACTACTGCGGACGTGGCCGATAAATCACGTGACCGCGATTGAGCAGGTTGGAAACACTCTGCAATCAAGGCTCACTACTGCTCGCCGCAGTCCGGAAGAGAAGCTCGCGGCCGCTTTGGGTCTGGGCCGTCGATACGCGAGACACTGCGAGGGGGGCGAAAAGAAAAGAGCGCTTCGTCACTTCATGTGAATGGACCTTGTGGACACAGTGGACGCAGTGATCGCCTGCTGGGACCACGACAGGGTCGGACGATGAACCGAAGACGGACGATTTTTCTCGTGTGTTCCTCGCACCGCGGGCGTCGTGTTTATGAACAGTAAGTCTTGGTTGGCCTTCCGGTGGCGTCAGGAGACCCCCTTCTCTGGTTCTGAATCGGAAAGAGAGCTGTCGCTAAGAATAACAGTTGGTTGCCTGGCGCTTTGTTGGTTGATTCAGAGGCATTCTGCGATATGAAAGGTGTGCATGTAATAGTGTTATTTTCGGTAATCCTGAATTGCGAGAAGCCTATCGAAATTATTTTATGCGGTAGCACTACCTGTTGTGTATATTCATTGATGCTACAAAGATCCCAAAAATTAACGTGTGATAATACTGACGCGTTAAGGTTAAAACACAAGGGCACGCGTGTTGTGGTTGTAGCACTATTAAAATTAATTATATGTCACAGTTTACGTAACACCATTAAGATTATGGCGTAACTGGACCGGGAACGTTTGGTGTAGCGAACCGTCATCTTTTACCGCGCTGCTTAAAAAAAATTATATATATATATATATATATATGGTGTTTCAGAGAACGCAGGCCAAATCGCTCCTGCGAAAACTAATCATCGCAACGGAGAAAGGCTTGCGGCGTTTTGGTCCTGGGCCAGGGGACCATTTAGGAAAATTATTAAAGTCCAGGATAATTAAGTTGTTAATTATATTTGCGTAAATAATTTTTTTTTAATATTGTGTTTAAGGGCATGGTTTAAATAATAAAATTGCTCAGCATCATCGAAAAACACCAAATCAACAAATTGCAGAACGATAGAAGGCTAGGACTTAATTTCTAGATGTAACTCTTATGACATAGTATCAAGATAGGGGAACGATGTTACATGTATGGCCATATTATGTTGTCGGCCATATTTGCTTCTCATTTAAAAAATAAAGTTCAAGAAATTATTACTTCCGGTCGGACTGGTCTGTTCAGAACCTTACTCTGCAATAATAATGGTAGGGAAATAATCTAGAAAGGCTAACAAACGTTGAGTAGCGCATTTACAATCCGTGAAAAAGAAACGTCGGCTTGTGGTTGACAAAGAAAGAAGGAAGAAAAATCGCTGGGTCTGTATCTGAAAATTAATATTATAAATCTACTAATTTCGTTCAAAGCAGGCCGAGCACATGGGGTGCGCCGAGACATTAAAAATAAAGAATATTCCCCACCTCATCCCTGCGGCTGGTGTCGTTTTTAAACCTATCAAACACACCAAAATCTTCGTTAATTTTCTCTGTACAATAAGGGCGTTCCACGAAGCAGTTTCTCAAATATATGCCTTTAAAAAAAAGTGTATATATATATATATATATATATATATATATATATATTAAAAATATCATTAAGCTGCCTCATTTTTTTCGCACCTCAGGGAAGAGGCTGTGACATTCCGCTATCCTGCCTCCTAATGAATTCATTACTCAATACGGGACAAAACGAACTTCGCGGCACCGCGCCAATCGGTCAAAAGTTAATATCGCAAAACCATCTCGCGAACCTCGCCGATGGCCACCCCGAAGAAACTCGAGCACGGTCATTACACCTCATCGGAATTCTAATCAGAATTTGCGGAAAGCTTCGGCGCACTGCGCTGGCCTGCGGCGGTTAATCGGCCATACATCGCACCGGAGTTGCTCACAGCCGGCTCAATCTGCACACGAATGCATTGAAGTTCCAGTCACGTGCCGCTTCCACAACTCACCATTGTACTCCTCTCAAGACTTGCCCGCTAAAACAACAACAATAAAACAACTACACGCAAGATGGAGGTATGAACATATTACACGATAAACGATTCACTAAACTTTCTTTTATGTGTGTGTGGATTGTTTGATACGAAACCGCGCCTCGCTGCGCTACGTATAAAAAAAGCTCATCCACCCTCATTATTATTATTTTTTTTTTCCTTCGCGTATATATTATCCGTATATGTATAACTAGTGGCGATGGTACTGGTATAGTATACGCATAGATTGCCGGGAACCACCCGCTTGCTTGGCTTGGACATTAGATAAATCGTGTGGTATACGTCGCTTTATTCTGAAACGCGGCGCCACGTCCAGAGAGATAGAGTTTGGTTCGTGCAGGACCCCGGTGTGGTGGTCCATCGGTCTCTTCGACGTCTCTACCGATACCCGGATGCGGTTTAATGTTCTACGGAAAACCGGCTCAGATCCCTGATTACATTAGCTCCGGGCGGTCAATTCCGAGTGAGTTGTATGCGGCGTCACGTAGCACGCCCCCCGCTTGGCATGTTTACTCGATGACATCGAGAGAACTTAATTAGGAATGATATCAAGCAGGGTTCGATCGCAGAGTGCTGGAACGCCGGGTTCGGCTAGATTAAACGTAAAAGATTTCTTCCTCTTTCTAAAGTCGCTCGGACCGCGACTTGGAAGATCTTACACAAGCACGTTCAAACACGATGGGTCGTCTTAAGTGGCAGGCGTTCGAGACAAAATAGTTGCTGCTTAATTAACGGTCCTGCTATTAGACAGACACCACCTGCCCGAAAACTTTTTCGGAACTAAAGAAAGACAGTGTTTTGAATTGATGTATGATTTGATTTTCTTTGAGATCAATAGATGAAACAAAGATAATGAGTGGATCTGGAAATGTGAACTTCGCAGAGATTCCGATACCATGAATGCTAGGTTCCGCGTCTCAAGACAGATCATTTTTTGTGCGCATACTAGTATAAATAGTTGCATCGTCGTTCTTTGAGGTCCTCTCCTAAATCGCAATGGTTAGCTTGGGCTCTGCGAAATAATCGTACATTTTTTCATATATAAAAACGAACGGCATCGGCGTTTGTGTGTTGCCAGACAATGTCACGCGGTGTTTCAACTAACGAGTAAGCACGTCTGTTTTCTGCCCTTTGGCTGAGCGATCAAGATGGCAAGATCTATTAACCGCACGGGTTCTTGACTTGGTATCGGGTAGTTTTTGGCAGAAATGATCCTTATCCTGTTTACAAACATGAACTGCCGCTTGCGTCCCAAGCGACTTCCGTTCGCACCGTCTTTACAAGCCTGTTGAGATTGTTTATGTCACCAGTGCTAGAAAGCATACATGCTCCTCGGACAACAAGAGTTGGAGATTTAACGAGGGCCTTCGGATGTACAATATTACGTCTTGGAGGAGGGAATTGGTTTACAAGGATATTCAAAAACGTTTAACAGATTTTGCGCTTCTTCCTTTCTTTGGCGTTGACCTAGAGAATCGGTGGTGAAATGTTTCTTCTAGATTGCAAGCAGCGGTGTTAAGGTGGGGTTTGCTCATTCTTTTAATAAACTGGAAGTTTTCTGAGACGTCGAAGACTGGAGCAACCCGGAGCATCATCGGGAATTGGGACTGCCATTTTGAAGCGTGCTTTGAATTTTGCAATGCCGGTCCGGAGCGATGTCGGTTTTCTAAAATGCCATAATGCCTATATTGCGAACTTCTAAGGTTTTTTTTATTTTGAGCCTCCTGATATACTCCACGATGTATAGGATGGCTGAAATACTCAGGCTCTATCTAAGGGTGTAGCCCGAAACAACTCATTCCCGTCTGAACCCGTCCCATTTCGACCCATCCCCGAATCGACCTTCCCACTTGAACCCGTCCCGCTTCGACCTATTCCCGAATCGACCTTCCCGTTTGAACCCGTCCCGCTTCGACCTATTCCCGAAACTCCCTTCTCATTTGAACCCGCCCCGTTTCAACCGATACCCGAAAGATACTTTGCGTTTGAACCCGTCCATTTTCAAGCCATTTGTATAAGACCCTGCGCATCACAACCTCTTCGCGAAAAGTCTAATCGTTGTAACCCTGGTCTGCACACCTTTTCTGCTTAAGAATGTATGTTCTGAAATGTAATTGCCTGCCAATATATTGTAAAAAAAGCTGTATGGCAAAGTTTCTTTCCTTGATCCTTATCAAGCTCTTCACTCACGCTCACGCTCTTTTGTCCACGAAATGTGTTCTACTATCTGTCTCAACTACCGATGCCGCGGTATAGACGCTCTAAATCAGCTCTGCATTGGCGCCGCCATTACTGACCTCCAGTTTTAGACCGCAGTTCTTAGGCGCCCGTTCCTGTATACAGCGGCGTCGGCGTTGGCGTAACCGCTATAAAGCCCTTCCGAAATACTGCCCTCTGTTGGCAGCCGTGAAATCTATGCACAATGTCGGTCTAAAACCGCAACGTCACGACAAACTTTATGCGTTTGGTTGGATTAGAAGAAAGAACCCACTTACAGAAAAAGGTGATGAGCGCAGTGATGTTGTACATTCGACCCTGTTTGACTGGCTCGTGGGCTCGTAATGTTTACCTCGCACCGTTATCTTATGGAATGATTTGCATGTTCCGTGACGTCAGTTGTCCGCCATTGTGCAGTGGTCCCGACCTAATAATCGGCACGCGAATTTTGAAAGGGCTCTATCTGTGGGAACGGGCGCATATATGTAACACTGTGCAACACTGCGTGCGTTGCATTATTGGGCACCCCCTGTGCCCTAGCTCTTCGTCCTGTCTGGCCTACGCTCAAACAAAATACCAATATTAAATATAATCAAAATAGAGAAGCGTAAACGACTGTTTGTATGCTTTTATTCTATTTCCTTCACTTGATTATCATAGCAACCCAGGTTACTTCCATTTAAGATTCTACTGCGTCCTTCTCGTTTCAGCGTCTCGGTAAGACAAGAAAAAGTCAGCAATAGCGGCTGTAATCTGGCGCGTGTTTAAAGTGTCTATATGGTCGGAGACAAACCAAAAGTAGGGTATCCGCTTCTACACCTTATCTCGCAAGTACTGTAGTACAGTGTTAAAGAGGAGCATTGACTTTAGGAAGTGTTTTCATGGCGCGATGTCTCGTATAAACGAAGCGTTGGCTTAAATCCCGCTTTCCACCAATGCCTCTGATAAGGTATATGTGCGCCAGCTTGATGACCAAATTCTGCCGGCTTTGAAGGAAAATCCTCGTAACAATATAAACTTCTACGAACTTGGTGACAGCCCGGAGCAAAATGCAGCTCTGCTAGCTCCGTCGCCTACCTTGCTCTAAACAATTGTGCTAATCATTGCATCCCAAAACTGAGTACACGTATATAGCCGCCGCGGCTTTTATGCTTATTCATTTTAAAAACCTATTCAAAATATATCACACAACCACATAACCCCGCCAAAGTTATCAATGTGTCTAGAATTCGCCTTTATTTACAACAGGAAGGAGCGAGCTAGCATTAAATGCCCTCAAAAAAAAAAAAAAAAAAAAAAAGGCTTCATTTCACTAAATTGCAGACTCTGGGCGCGATTCCCCTTCGACGCGTCTCTGTTGTTCTTGCCGAATCCGCGTTGCCTTGATAGAGTCCAGCAAGACCCAAGAGGACGCCAGACCCACAGCGAGCGACCCTACCGTGACTGCCGACAAGACGCTGACCAGCACTCCGTTCTCCCGCACAAGGTGTTCGATGGCACGAAGACAGCCGCCCGTGTAAATACGCTGCTCCACCGCCGTCAAGTTTGTCTTCGACACGTCCGTCACATCGTAACCGCACATGACGTTGGGTAACCGTCCGATGTCCTTGCAACACGAATAGGGCACGCCGCATCGCTCGCGACTGTAATTCCAGGTCGAGCAGTTGAAGTAAGCGTTGAAGCGCCAGTCCAGGTAACCGTTGGACGTTAAGCCGCAACAACGCAGGGATGACTGTAGTAGGTCGATCAGTTCTTCGAGGGACGGGTCGTCCCTGTAGATCACTATGGCCCTCCGAAGAGTAGTTTCGATGGGAAGCCGTCCTCGGACGCTGAGACTCGGCAGGAGGAATGCGAGGAGCGCTACGGCGATGGCGACCATCAGTAGAAGGGTCAGGGCGGAACAGTAGACACACAGCAGGCGGACGTTCTCGCGCAGGACGCCGACGCAGCCACAGGTGGCGAGCAGGAACATGACGGAGCCCAACGCCATGAAGAACACGGCGGGATCGAAGGTTAGGTCGACGTAGCGCCGTAGGATGCGCTCCCTCACTATGAACAAATAGAGGCCCATAAGGAATGTCGTGCCGCCGAGAAGCCAGTACATGAAGTTCATAAGGAACAGGATGAGTTTGAGGAAGAGACGGGCCGACATGTTCGCCTGCCGAAAGAACTGTGGCCGCTATGGCGTTCGGTTCACGACTGTCTCACCGAAAAAAAAAAATGGGGGTTACCCGTGACCCGAACCTTTTGTTTACTGACGTTTCCTTTTTTTTATCTATGATGCGGTTTCAGATATATAGAGTGGCTGTGCCGCTGACGGGGTTGCTTCTCTTTTTCCTTAGATGACGCTAGGATAAGGCGAGATAAAAAAAAACTTTCGCTAAAGATAAAACCTTAAACGACGGAAATGACTGTTCGACAATTCACATATTTCATGTTTAATACTTAGTGAGCGGACGAAATGTGTAATGTTTTATTTTTCTTTCTTTTTTTTTAAGCATCAAGCGATCAATGTTTGCAGAAATGTGTAGACCCTTGTAACTACCCGTCGGAGCCAATCTAGAAGCACCAAAAGTGCATCGTCATGGTGCTCGCCGTTTTTGTGCGTTTGTTGCTACCACCGGCTAAACCAATCGCACACAGGGAATCACAATCTAGATATGTTGCCAGGGCGAGTATTCTTAAGTCTATTTCAAATGGCGCAAAGTGCAAACCCCGAAGTTACGATGCCCTCCCCATGATAGATGCCCATCACAATTTAAAGCAAAGAATGCGTCAGTCTATAAAGTATTTGGGAAAGCCACCGAGAGAACACAATCTAAATAAAACTTATTTCGTTTCTACACAAAACTCACGGGGTTTTTTTTTAGGTAAAAGGATGACAGCGTCTCATAATTTCTTCAGAGCACCCTTAAAAGAGGGGTTGGCCGTGCTAACGATGATTCCGCTGTAACATTTATTTGAGTAAGAATGTATTACTTAACACCAAGCGGCGCATTGAACCCTTTACAAACGCATTATTGCTATCGGCAGAGACTGGCGAAAACCCGCACGGCTGTCGCGGACGTCCATAAACTGTGCATTTCTCCGAGTTCAGGCCGTCTATCATTTAACACGTCGTTAGCCTACAAATGCATAAGGGAGAAACAAGTAGGACGAAAAGCAAACGCATCAATCGTGAACCGAACCTTCTGCAACCGGCGCAAAAAGAAACGGATATATGTGGAAGCTCAAGAACTCTAGAACGAGCACACCTGCCCATCGCTCGGCGGTTGAAGACCGAGGAAAAGGCGGCGCGTATTAGCGGGCGCTGTAAATAAACCGTCCGCGTGGAAGTCGCACGGGTACGTCCTGACCAGACATGATTAATGTCTGCGACTGTCAATGCCACCCCACTGTTGTCACTGGGTGGGCTGCGACTACCTGGGAGGGCTCCCGGAGGCAGTCGGCATCGGATGAAAAGAGCGGTGCAACGCACTCCGGTGCTGCTATTTCCGCTGCACTTGGACCCGCTCGAGAGCACTCCTAGCATTCTGTATATAAGTTCAGAAGCTTCAACATGCAGTCCTACTGCTAATACATCATGCAAAAGACAGTCTGGAGGCACCGTCTGAAGCGTGTTTCTTTCTTTTACAACGCTCCTGCCAAGTTGATCATCAAAACAGAAACTCTCTGCAGGCGTGTTCAGATCACGCACATATGTATGAAGTAAGCATGCTTCAGACATGCTTGCGCCCTGTCCGAAGATAATTTTGTGATCACGCCTACAGCAAACACCGCGTCTTTTGTATGTTGCATTAGCAGTCTGACAGTGTGACTGCGACTTTACGTTTTGTTTTGTGAAGCTATGGACAGTTGCGAACAGGCGATCCCGTACTCTGTCACGTAAGGACTCGCGGAAGCGAAAACAGGCGACTGCAAACTTGCCTTTTCAAGCATGTCCCTCACCGACTGACACAAAGAGTACCTATTTATAAACAAGTGGTGTCGCGAAATATTTGCTCGAGTAGGAGAAAGCTATAGTTTTGTTTATCTTTCTTTTTTCTTTTTTCAGACGAAATTTGGTGATTTGGTTAAGGTGACAGGGCTACAACAAGACCGAAGGGAAGGAAAAAAAATACTGTTTGAGAGCATCTACATTAGTTACAGTCCAGTGAATCCTCTCGCGCCAGAAACACAAAGGCAAAATAAATGCCTTGCGAAAGACTGCCCTCGATAGACAGCTGGGAAATCCTCGCACAATGGCGGACTAAAACCGCAACGTCATGGCACACTTTATGCATTTGGTCGGTCAAGAAGGCAAAAATACCCACGAAACACGTAATGCGCACGGTGACGTTGAACTTTCGACGCTGTTTCGTTGACTCGTCGGAACTCTGAGCGTTGTCCGCGCTCCGACGTTCGCTATCTTACGTAATAACTTGCAGCTTTCTAATAATCGGCACGTGACTTTCGAAAGGGGTCTATAAGAAAGGAATAAAAGGAAAATAACTCAACAATTGTGATCTTTCTTTTAACTCTGTTGGGGGCGACAGAATACATTAGGGAACGTCCAAAGAAGGCAGGTTACGCATGGTATAGCAAGAAGCGCAACCATGGCAGAACTGGCCGACTTCCTTTCGTCCCCTTTATCTGAATGAATGATTGCGAACAATGATCGATAAACACCCCACACAAAGTGTCTACCCCTAAGGCCCTCTTTCGATCAACCATGTAGTATCGGTGGCTGACGTGGCTTGTACAACTACCTTACATCAAATAGAGTTATCGAGTCGTGCGTATCAAAAAGGGCTGTCGGACAAGGCAACGTAAAAAAAGGTCCGTAAAGTTGTATTTTGAAAAAAAAAGAAGAAAAATATATATCTTGTCTTCCTAAATATATTTGTGGCTTCTTCGATCTTGACGGAACTATCGTAGTCGTCGTTTCGAAGCGTATATCGCGAAAGGGCGTATACAACGTAACGTTCCAGTGAAAGCTTCAATCACCGACATCAATCTTCACGGGTAGAGCCGCTTGTGCTGCCCTAAAAAAAGTACGCGGTGTGTCACGTATAAGATGCAGAAAAGAGCTAGATGCACCCACGTATTTGTTCCGCAAGATCCCGGCGTATTTCCTCCGTGCGATCGGTTTAGTCAGTGGTAGCAGAATGCTCAAAGACGACGGGCGCAGTGACGATGCACTTTTGGTGCCGCTTTGATTGGCTCCATCGGATTGTGTGATGGGAGTAAATAAATGAACTGAGCTGAATTAAATTTTAGGGTGGGCTACGGTCACACTTAGAGAGGAACGGAGTATAGACCAACTCGCAGTCCCCTGACGTCATGCCGCTGCGGTGGCGCTGGAATGGGCACTGCGCATGCGCAGAAGCTTCGCCCCAGGCGAATCTGGTTTCCGCGCACGCGCGATGCCCGCACCCGGTGTGGGCAAACGCGGGCTTGTTTATGACCATTGTGTTGGTCCATAATGCAATCAATCTTAGCTTGCAAGCAAAAAAAAAAAAGTACGAAGTATACTAACATTTAGACCAGGCGCCGGAGGAATTCCTCGTAAACACTAGCAACAAGTCCGAATGAAGAACGCGTATGTAAGCACCGAGAAACTAGAATGACCATGTTGTTAATCGGGCAGGTTTCGTAGCTTTCAATGTACTGTCTTGGTCACGGTTAGCGGGGGAACACGGGAGCGCGTGGCAACAGTACCGCATCCGCATCGCTGCAGTTGAAGCTGTGCAAATGGGGGCTGTTGGAGTGTTCTGTTAGCACCCGATGCCACGCTCTTCCTTGTTCCTGGTAACTGTGATTAAGATAGTACCTCGGGCGATACGTGAAACGGAAAACTGGAGAAATCAAACTACGAAGAACGCATAATGAAGTTTCGTATTATTTTCACGAAGGAATAGAGATTTAGCAATGAAACTTCGTAAGGAGTTATTCCTTGTTTTGAGTGTTCAGGAATCGATCCACTACATCAATTACTCGGTCGTCGTCCTTGAAATGTTTTTAGGCTTGTTTGGACACACTGGAAGAGTCTGCGCCAGTTAAGCACACTCATAGACTGGTGCCTTGTCCCTGAATAGAGCCACCAGCTCAAAATGAATGTCCTGGACATAGGTTCTTTTCGAATGGAGAAAACAGATTACTGCAAGTCCTACTTTCCTATCGTGCTATGCCATTTTTTTTTATCGACACCCTAGCGGCGTTTCTTGGTACTATAGCATGTTATGTTTATACTATGCCGAAACTAGAGTGATGCAAGCTCGTGTTGATGCCTGTTTTGTTCCACTTTCTTTTTTTAATTCTTTGTGCTGATAATACGAACTTTATGAACGCCCCTCGGTGAATAAACAAAATGCATCACTAGAATTTACCGATAGAAGAAGAAATCTGAAATTCGAACTTTTGGTGTTTTAGTTTTTGTTTAACGTATCAATAAAACATGGCCAAAATTAGAGATGACTAATTCCAAGAACCCGGCATTTTATAGTTTAATCCGCAATTACGTTTAGGTATGCGTTTTTCTAAATTGAGGTTAAAGTGTAAAATTTATTCAGTAGCTCCTGTTTTAACTCTTTCAAACTCAACATGTTCCTCTAATTTTAATAGTTTGGAACCTTTTATATGTTGCTGCTATTATTCAATCGCTCAAGGGGTGCACGGACGGTTTATGAAAACTGCAGTTTAAGAAGATCTACCATCAATCCTTGTTGGCGAAAATAAATGCGTATAGCAGGGTTATTTTCTCGGTTTTCACGCAGTTAAACTAAACCTTGGTACCAAGAATTGCCGTGAGGAATCAACGAGAAGATCGTACAAAAAAAAAAAAATAACTCACACAGAGTGACTCTTACTGTGACATAAGAAGACAAAAACAGCATGTTTTGTTAGTAAGAGTTTTGTACTCCTTTTTGTACTAATCTCAGCCCTTATTTAAATGAGAGTTAATTAAAACTTACGCGACCGCCTCCATAATAAGCCGCACGGATGACTGAACCTCAGATCTTACGCGTATACTGACATATCGGGGAAATCTTTTGTTTCCGATAAAGCTACCGGAAAAGCCTCTCATCCGAGAGAATCACTTGAAGCGATACAAGTCGGTGCTCGAGAGAGAGAGAGAGATAGCCTTCGGGCCGCTCAAAATAGAAGCCCTGG